TACCGTTTATTATGCTATATTGATACCTAACTACCAACCCAATATTTTAGATAAATACAAGCTGGCCGATAAAATATAACAATACTGCTCTCGTAAGCTAAAACGCTGTTAGTTACCACAGAATAATTTAAAAAAAAAAACAATTTTTATATATTACACTTTTTTAAATTCAATACACCTTGTACATTCAAATTATTTAAATATAATTTATGTTTTCTTGTGTAATTTTACCTGACCAAAGCAATAAAACTATATTAAATATGATTAAATTAATTTTAACAACATACTGGTATGTTATTTTTCACGTTGTACCTCAGTATTGGGATAAACTTTTGATACTCCGTTCATAAAACAGCACTAGATAAAACGAATCAGATATCGAATTATTATTCTTACATTATCAGCTTATTTTAAAGTGTTCCGAAAGTCGACTTGCTCTGCGATAAGTAAAAACAGTCAGCTTACCAAGCACAACGAACTAAGATAAAATGCCGTATCTTCAACAATACTAACGGCGTTAATATTTTATGATGGTATTATATAGTACCCACGAATTGCTCTACTAGTTATGATGTTTTAGTTATTTAATTATATGTTAGGGAAAGTTTGGGAAACCGTTCCTCCTTTGTCGTCGGTTCAAGAAGAGAGGTTAGACTATGTTATATTTTTAAGGCAATATTTTAAATATAATGCATTCACACAAGCTGAATTTCACAATTATTTTTTATTTTTGCCTCATTTTTTTTCATTTTTTTTTTTTTTTTACTTCTGGCGTTTTTGTTTGTGATTGCAGAATACCTAACTACTAAATACAAGTGTCTGGGTATAGAGTTTAGCGTCCCTGCTGGACTGAGTTTTATTATACGTACACGTTTTGTTCGTAAAATATAGTACAAACATGTATTAAGTGATGTTTTCGTCGAATTAATCAGAAGTTCACTCAAAATGTATCTTAACTTAACTTAACGCAACTTAACTCAATAAACACTATATATTTGTTTTATGATTGTGAGCTATAATAAGTACCGACAATAACAAATTTAGTTTTAAATCAAATTAAAATTAACCGTATATATTTGAAATATACATATACAAAGTAAAAAATCAAAATCAATGGATCCAATACCCAAACTGATAAAGAATATTATTTTTGTTATTATTGTGGATAAATCAAATTCGTCATGCAATCGATTTTGGTTTTCTATAGCCGGTATTTTCGACCAACCCGATCCAACCGGAGGAACAATATTAGTGGCATACAGTGGCAGTAATTAGGTCATGGTGCACGCGCAGTTACGGATTGGTACTAACAGAGCCATGCCTAGGGTGTGCGAGAGGTGCGTAAACACCGGGCGCCAAAAGCTTTTCCAAAATCTAAGTAATATTACATAAAGTTAATCATATTGTTCAATTCATAACATTTAACACGTTCAATGCCCATGGTCTCGACGCGTAGTTGACATAATTTGCATTGTCCTGATCGACGGTGTTGCTAGTTTATTTTTACTATTGGTATTTATTTTTTCACCGAAATAGCGACGTCATCGATAACAAATTGACTATATATGGACTAAAAATACCATTTATACTAAATTTTTATTGTTAATTGGTTTAATCAATTAAATAACTTTAATAATATAAACGAATACCGACTTGAACGAGTTGTACGATTTGATTTTGACCTTATATATCACGATAGTGTTCATATCATATAGTTCATTATCACAAAAGTTTCATAGGTACCTAATTATTTTTCATTGAAAATTATTTAAAGGTAATTTATTTTTTGTGCAATCGAATACATTTGATTTGTAAATAAATTATATCGGTTTAGTATGATAGGTTATTTACATGATTTGTTCTACCTATATAGTTTGAGTTCTATTACTTATATTATTATTTAATTTATGATTATTTATTTTATTAATTTAATAAATACAAAATAAGTAGTTATATAAAAACGATCTATTATTATGTAGTCTCCTTATAGCCTATAGGTATACAAATATTTGGTAGAGGGGCGGAGGCGCTAAAAATGATTCTTGGCACCGGGCGCTAATAAATGTTAGGCACGGCATTGGGTACTAATGAAAACCCGAACGAAAATAGAGAGTAAAAACCGTGAAAAAAAAACAGAAATATTACCCGCACAAAATAAGGGTCTGCTATAGTCGACTAAGCAACGTGCCCTACGGATTTCTTGTCCGGCTTCGCTGGGCGAAGCCTAACCCGCTGGGCGTGATTCGATTTCACTACGAGTGTTACGTATACAACTGTACCATTGGTTCGAAAAAAGTTTTATCGTTACATATCGTTAAATAGACGATTTTACGAGCATAGGTGTGCACACGGGGCGAGTCGAGCGAGATCCGGTTCGACCGAAATTTTTTTGGGGGTATAGTAAAATTTAAACTAATCATAGTAAAATGTCTACATATTTTTTAATATGTTGGTGGAAATCAATTAATTGTATTTATATCATTTGATTTTAAAAAATGTAAAGTTTTACTTTAAACTTCAAAAATGTATGTCTAGAAATTATATAATAAATTATAATTCTTGATTCTATGTATAGACATAAATACTACATTGTTTTTAATTTACAACAGAATCTACTATGTTAAGTGTTAGAAAAAAATTAGGGGCTATATCTAAATATTGAGGCACTAATTGTATCCAGGCCCGACTGGAAGTTGAAGTCTGCGCACGCCTATGTTTACGAGCAGGGGAGGACGCAGAAAAAAATTTCAGGGGGGGAGGGGTTGAAAAAATAAGAATAATTACCGTTAGGGCTGTATTTAAAAATTTGATATCTTATGATATATTATATTTGATTATAAAAATATAATAATATAACACATATTATTTCATCCATAATCGAGATTCTTTAATATTAAAATATAACTTATAAATGAAAATCGTTTAATACTTTTTTTAATTAACAAATTAAACTATTTTTTTTTTTTATTGTTTTATTTTCTTTTTTCATTAGGTAGGTACATCATTTTTAAAATTCATTTTGCTAAAATATTTTGCCACCCCTCAGACTTGACGCCTCCGGACATGTGCCTATCCGTGCCTCCTCTGGGCATACACCGTTTGAGTAAATCGACTCAAAATATAGTCTGTTTGGGTGAATAAATATATATTGTTTGGGCGAATAGATATATACTGTTTGGGCGAAGATTATTTAAATAAAAATACCGTTTGGACGATATAAAAATGTTTATAATATACACTCAACAATTAATTAAACAAAATGATATAAAATATAAATAATTAACAATAAGTCATAATTAAAAAAAATATATTGATATGAATGTTGATAATATTATTATACAGTATTATTATATAGTTATAGTATATATATATACTATAACTATATTAGTTGTTAGTAATCTACAGTCAAAAAATTATAAATACAATTACATATAATATAATTAGTATATTTTAAAATAATCTATTGTATTAAAATGCTCATAATATACATTCAACAATTAATTGAAAAAAATTATCTAAAATATAAATAATTAATAATGAGTTCTGTTTAAAAAATATATTTATATGAATATTAATAATATTATTATTTATAAGTAGGAAATAATCTACAGTCAAAAAATTAAAATAATAAAATAAAATTACAGATAATATAATTATTAATAATTTTTAAAGCAATCTATTAGCCTGATATTTTAAACCTAAACATTTTATGTATTCTAATTGGTTAATATCCCTTCTTTTATATTTATTCCATATTTCTTGTATAAACTCTTTATTTTTTATTAGCAATAATATATCCGTATCTGTCATCAAATTTTTACCTCGCACAGGTAAAAAATAATTTCACTTGCCCACTTGCGTACGCTGCAAGAAGCGGAGCGGTTTATCTCGTGTGAATAAACGTATTTAAGCATAGGTGTTAAATTTTAGGCGGTTTTTCGCAGCGGCTAAAAACCGCGACCGCGCGCGGTTAAACCACTACGTGTGAAACCAGCTTAACATGCACTTTACAGTGCAGTGTCATCAGCCCGCTCAGAGGACCGCGATCACTCGCGAGTTCTAATTCAATTTAGAAATAATTTTTATTCTCATGGACCCCGAGGTGCTGTTTGTACGGGTAAATGTTTGAAAAGTAGGACCCCCTGTACATTTCGAACTGTTAAGCTTCTTCACTTTTATCGATATTGCAGCCCAGTAGAAGATAAGTAATTTAATATTTAGAAAAAATACGAAGCACAAGTACTTAGGTACGCATTTAATAAATACATGCTCTTAGTCAAATTTATTTTTCGGCTCCCCTCTTCAAAAAAAAATAAAATAAATTCTAAGTTAGGCAATAACAATTAAAAATAACCTAAATATAAAGTAATATATATAGTATAAATCTATATAACCCGAAAACCCAACATTTTTTCTTTTTTTTTTTCCAAATTAATATTCCCTCATTATTATTTTTCTTATTGCGTAACGCAATAAGACAAGTATACAGAATATAGTATATATCTTAAAACGCGAGGTCCTGGACAAGTGCCCCGATTGCCTCCCCCCCACCCCCGGGGACGACACTGACCGCAAGTGTTTAGGTACGCACGAACCAATTTATAGGAAATCGATTGCGCGGACTGAGACGACCAGGCGAAATCGACGAAACGCGTGCGGTGTCCGTCAACGGTGAGTGAATCCTACTTACGACGGGTTGACGAAGCCGCCGTCGTGTCATGGCCGCAAACTCGAGGCAACTCTTTAAAAGACATTTCCGCGCGTTATCGAACACGTAAAACAGCCCCAAGCGAAGGGTCGTTACGAATCGGTATCTTACAGCGGTTTCGGACGTCGGACGTGGACGGGAAGATCGCCCGCGGGGACGGATACAACCGCGTGCGCCGAAAACCGATCCGATTCGCCGTGGAGACGGTAAACCGACGGCAAGACCGCGCGAAATTCTCGTCGTGCGCACGGGCATGTCGTCGTCGGTCTCTGCTCGCCGCCACCGCGCCAACGTACAACGCGCTACGGGCGACGTGACCGTGACGTAGATGTACCCCTACCGCCTCATCACCGACGCGACGTAATCGTATGTTGCGCGCAGGCCGGTCACCGCCGTCACTTCTCACCGACGTACGTAGCTCGTCGCACGTGGTTCGCACACCACATCACGCGCGCACACACACACACACACACACGTCGACGTTACCGGTTTATTTTTTCCGTTATCGACCGCGACGTCTACCTAAACTCTCGAACACCCGTATTTAATGTCTGGCGCGACGAACATGTCCGAGGAAAACATGGACGGTCTGTCGGCTCAACAACTGTTCGGCACCGGCGAAGGGCTCACTTACAAGTACGTATACACGCACCTGTACGGCATATACATATAGATATTTGTGCGTACACATCTCGCGCGCGTGCGCGCGCACCTCGCACTGTGTGCACTGTTGTTGTACCGGCGTAACTACAGCAGAAGCGGATCCCCGCAGTTACAGAACTATGGGCAGGGGCGGGCTGGCCAGCGAGGCAAAGAGGCGATCGCCTCCTGGGCCCTCGATAGTGTCGTTTTAATTACCCGTGTACGAAATGTAACGTTGAAATATAATGGTAGGACACCATTCATTTACTATTAGGATATCCGAATTTGGATGAATTGAGCACAATTAAGTATAAATATTTATTAATTAAAATGTAACGCAGCTCCAGTTCACCCCCCCCCACTCCCCACTGGGTCCCTCGATATACAGTCCACCCCTAACTGTAGATCATGCTATTTCAAGAGACCGCCTATTAGGACCTAAAACTAGATTTTAAATGTGTAACAAAAGAACAGGGAATTATCGTATAATGTGTCTTTAAGTTTATTCATAATTATCATCAAAAATATAAACATTTGTTTTATGGAATATTTCGTCTTTCATGAGGTCCAGCTTAGAGAAGGTTTATTGTACTATAGTCGTACAATCAAACCAGTGGCGTAATTTTGGAGAAGGGGTGGCAACTGAGATATTTACCCCAGTCTAGTAATAATTTCATCCTATAGTTGGAAAACTTAAAAATATATAAAAAGTTTTCAAGAGGCCATTATTGATAACAAATATTAACTGCAGCGTTTGCATTTTGCTCAACTGTCAAACTCTGGATCAGTATTGTTTTTATTTCTTATACTTTTATTATTATAATCAAATCTAAATCTGATCTATTGCGGTCGTAAATGTGATTCACGTTGGTCTCTTGTTCGGGAGTAAGAAAAACTTATACTATACTCTTAAACGGATCATCATCAACAAATTCCACTCTTAGGGTTGAAAACTTTTTTTTTCTGTGTACTTGATGAGTTTTAGAGAATACGTAGGGCAGCTATATTCATATATGACCACTGTATCGCTTATGAATCCTTGGTGTCAGAAAAACAATTATGTTCGGTCATCCTGCTTGCTCAGATGGCTATATGATATATATATATGATATAGATAGTAAGTAACTGACCTTTTCCATGTAACTCTTACTAAACAATTCGCGACTTATCCGTGTAACTTATCTTTTTTTTATTTCCTTAAAAAAAAATGACTATTTTCCTGAATACCTTGAACTGGCTTTAACTACATTTTCTATAATTAAATCCTTTTCCAAAAGTTTCTAGATAAAACCATGTAATAATCAGAATAATATACTTACAATTTTTATGTTTCTTAACATAATTTTATTTCATTGGTTTTTAAAATGGTTCAAAATTTTTTTTCTTTGAAGTTGCACAAAAAAACAGTTTCATTACTTATAGTTTTCATACATTCATAACGAATTAAGTTTTACTTGAAACAATTTTATTTTTTTAATATAAATACAGATTTTAACTAAAGCTGCCCTTTCTTATCTTGTTAATTGACGTTCTTATTTCTTTGATAACTATATCAAATTAGTTGATTATATGTTATATATAAATATACTGATACTCTTAAAATATTTTTTAAAACTTGTACACTTATCTACTAATATTAATTTTTTGTACATGTTTTGTTCTTGTTATTTTTCTGTATAATATTAATAAAATATTATTAATAAGTTCGTGTTTTAAATATATAAACAAGACTACTTTCTATATTATATTTTTTACAATTAATAAGAAAAGCCTTGTCTTGCGTTAAATAAATAAGTAAAATTTAATTGGATAGAATTAGTCATACTCATTAAGCCATTAAAGTTCATACTTTTTTTTTTTATATTAACATTCAAAAATATATTTATTCTATAGATATATTCATAATACTTCTTAAAAATTAAAAATAGTTTATTTTAATTTATTCTGATTATATAGTTATAACTTAATTGTTTTTGTATTAGTTAAAGAGATTAATATTAATGGTATTTAATTTAATTCAAATGATAGCACTTTAATTATTCTTTCCTTATATAACTAAGTTGAAACATAATACATCTAAGAATATGTATGTCATCTCACAAGTTCACTTGAGCATAAAGCTTAATTGTATTTATTTACATGTAGATACATTGATATGTCTTCATAAATCTATTATCTATAAAATAGTAATTTATATAATATAGAACTAAAGAAATTTACGAATTTATATTCAGTAATGAATTATACTTATTTACCTAATAATTTGTTAATTTATTTTAAAATTTTAACATTTATATATATATACATTTAATTTTAAATTCTGGCACTATAAACTAAATATTTGACCAAATTAGTATTAGTTTAAATTTTATTTATATCAATTGACTTGTGTCTTTTCAAGGCAAGATTATTCATAATCAAATTTTAAGTGTATATTATTAATAAAATTAAATATTTAATATGCTACATAATTTCTGTTCAATCAATTATAAGTTATTATAAATCAAATAGGATAGGAATAAAAATATGATTCTTTGACAATTAAATTTCCAGAATTGCCTTATTATTTAAACACATTTCTTATCTTTTACTCTTGAGAATTAATAAGAACTAATCTGTCAAGAAAAATAACATGATATACGAATTCAAAAAAAAAATATCATATTAATTTAACCTTTAACCTTGTTAAAATACTACTATTAAAATAATTATGTATTAAAATATATTAATATATATTCTAGTTCCTAAAATATTCTAAGGAATTTCATAATATGTATAAAAAAAATTATAATTATTAATTATTAAGGTTATAACTAATTAATCATTTTCACTAATTAATAAAACAATTGTAATCCATAAAAATACATTTTAATTATTATAGTATTGTATTATATAAGTTGTAGAAACAATCATTAAACAATTTGTACATTGGTAAACTAATAATTCATTTATGCCAGGTATAGTGATTCGTGATTGGTCAATTAATTTTTATAAACTTTTGAGTAAAATAATTGTTCTTACAAACCAATAAAAGTACTTTTATGTTAATATTACTTTAGGGTTTCTTAAGGGTTTTAGAACACCTTGGTCCCCATTGTGTTTTGTTTCTTAGTTACCTGTATATAACAACAACTGTTGAATAAATAAATAATTGTATAATGGTTTCATTAAAAGTAATTTTATACAAACCAGAATTAAAAATATCAAAATTTTCATATAGATTCATACTAGCCAATATATAAAAAAAAAAATTGGTATCAAAATAAATATATATTATATATTAATATAATATTAAATATTTAAATATGCAAACATTTAATTTATTTAAGTTTCTATACAAACATATACAAGTAACCTAATAATGTTTAAATTATATATGGATTTAAATTGCATTGCTTGTTTCAAGCATGTATCCAGAATTTTATTTTGAGAGGGGCTGATCAAAATGTATAAACGTAGTCATACAGTAAAACAAAAAAATAAAATGTAATTATTTAAATGTATTAAAATCTATACAATGTATTATCTATTAAGTATTAAATAATAAGATTTAAATGTTTGACTTGTCCACTATTAGTTTACTTGTCTAAAACCATATTATCAATTATAAAAATATTTCTATGAATATTTAAAATGCTAAACCAACAAGATGATTCTCTGAAGTTGAGTTTCTCATACATGTTTTTAACCTCTGCGCCATTGAAAAACTGCGTTCAGCAGATCCAGTTGACACAAGAAATATGGCAAATATTTTTAGCAGTTGGTAGAGATTAGAGTACAATATTTTATCACAAGAAATTAAATAATAATACTAGTTTGTACAAATCAAAAGGTTGAACCTTATTTATCATACTTTTAAAAGTTATACTATTTTGTTAAGAATATAATTTTGTATAAAATAAGATATTTTCTTTGTCCATTGAATCATTAATTTCTTAGGTTTTATTGAATGAGTGTAATATATATTTTATTTGGTAGTTCAAAAACCATATTTTACTTAAATTTCATTATTTTATGTTTCAGTGACTTTATATTATTGCCTGGATTTATTGATTTTGTGGCAGGAGATGTTGTAAGTTTTCATTTAATGTCAATTCCTATAAAATAAATTAACCATCATATTATATTGTATACTATTGAAAAGAAGCTAAATGATTTTTTTTTCTATATTTGTAAGAGATTAACCATTAGTGTGTTCAACTTTTCGAGCCTGATAATGTTTTACAAGCCTAAATTATTGTTTTTATTATACATATTTTTATAACATAATTTCTTTATACAACCTGTTTAATCCTATATAATATTATTATTGAAGGATTTTTACTTATATTTTTTTTTAACTTAAAATATTTATAGTCGTTTATTTTAGAACTAATTTTTAATATTCCAGTTTTTTTTATCTCATTGACATAAAAAAAGAATATCATAAATATAAATATATTGGTAAACATTTTTGATTTTATTTCAGGACTTGTCATCACCATTAACCAAAAATATAACTCTTCAAGCTCCATTAGTATCTTCACCAATGGACACTGTCACAGAGTCAGAAATGGCTATAGCAATGGCTGTATGTTTTGTTGCATTAATTCATTTTTATTATAAAAAATAAAATATTTAGCTCCAGACTTTTATTCGTAAAAAAAATTATATAGATTTTTATAGTTACTTTTAATATGAGAAATTGTGCATACATTTAAAATTGTATTTTTATTTTATTATTTTGACAGCTTTGTGGTGGTATTGGTATCATTCATCATAATTGTTTACCTGCCTATCAAGCAAGTGAAGTGCTTAAAGTGAAAAAGTACAAACATGGATTTATTCGTGATCCGGTTGTGATATCTCCAGATTTATTGGTAAACATTTATTTTGTTAAAATTTAAAGTTCATAAATTGCATAATCAATAAATCATTCTTCATAGGTATCTGATGTTATTCGATTAAAAGAAGAACATGGATTTTGTGGGTTCCCTGTTACTATAAATGGTAAATTAGGTGGTAAATTAGTTGGTATTGTTACATCCAGAGACATTGATTTCCTTGAAGGATCTGAACAATTACAACAATCAGTTAATTTGGTAATTATTATTCAATTTATATTATTATATTTTACTACATTAAAATATTTCATTTGATCAGGTCATGACTAGAATAGAAAACATTATATCAGCCAAGTCTGGAGTAACTTTAGAACAAGCCAATAGCTTATTAGAGCATTCAAAAAAGGGAAAATTACCTATTTTGAATGAAAATGGTGAATTGGTTGCATTGATAGCAAGAACAGATTTGAAAAAATCACGTGACTATCCAAATGCCTCAAAAGATGAAAATAAACAGCTTTTAGTGGGTGCTGCAATTGGAACACGAGAAGATGACAAAGTTAGATTACATTTACTTCATCAGGCTGGCGCTGATGTTATAGTTTTGGTAAGATAATTTTATCTCCAGATTTTTTAAGAAAATATTTTCTTAATTTTAATTATTTATATATATACATTCATTTTTTTTTAATAGGATTCATCTCAAGGAAATTCAATATATCAAATTGATATGATAAAATATATTAAAAAAAATCTTCCTTCATTGCAAGTCATTGCAGGAAATGGTAATGTATTTTACTAACAAATATTATCTATTGATTAAATGATTTTTCAATTTTTTTTTCTAGTTGTTACCATGTCCCAAGCCAAATCACTCATAGATGCTGGGGCTGATGGTTTAAGAGTTGGTATGGGATGTGGTTCTATTTGTACAACACAAGAAGTTATGGCAGTTGGTCGTGCTCAAGGAACTGCAGTTTACCGAGTCGCCCGATATGCTGCACAATTTGGTGTACCAGTTATTGGCGACGGTGGAATTCAATCTATTGGGCACATTATCAAATCTCTCTCACTTGGAGCATCCACTGGTAATATTTAGTTCTTACTCTTAGAGAAGCATAACTTATTATATTGGTAATTTTAATATTTAATGAACTTTTTATTCTAGTTATGATGGGATCCATGTTAGCTGGTACATCTGAATCACCTGGAGAATATTTCTTTTCAGACGGTGTGAGGCTTAAGAAGTACCGTGGTATGGGAAGTTTGGAAGCAATGAATCGAAAAGATGCTAAAGGATCAGCATTAAACAGATATTTCCATAGGTAGTGTTAAAAAAAATGTTAATCTATTAATTTTACTAATTATGTGTTAATGTACATGTTTGATATTTTGTCATCCACAGTGAGAAGGATTCTTTAAAAGTTGCTCAAGGTGTCAGTGGAACAATCGTTGATAAAGGTTCAGCTCTTAGATTTCTACCATACATTCAATGTGGTTTAAGGCATAGCTGTCAAGATATTGGAACCAAATCGCTTAAAAATCTCAGGGCTATGATGTTATCAGGTGAACTAAGATTCGAAAGACGTACACATTCAGCACAACTTGAAGGAAATGTACACAGTTTATTTTCATATGAAAAACGATTGTTTTAATGTATAATTGTTAATTATCAATTTAATTTTATATTTAATTAAAAACATGTATCTTTTTATCAGATTTTAAACTTAAATTGTATATTGTTCTTCGTGGAATAAATATAATTAAATTAAGAATTATTTTTCAGAATAATTAATTTAATTATATTATATTATATTATTAATTATATTCAGAATAATTTTCTTGTAAATAATCAACAACATCCATATATCTCGAGAACAATGAACTTAAAGCAATTAACTCTTCATCTTGTTTTTTGTAAGAATAATGATATTGACTCTTCCAGTTTAATGTTATACGAGTCAGTTTATCCATTTCACTGCTAAAAATTTAAAAGCAAGAATTGTATGATAATTAAATTACAATAATAAATCAATATGAATAATATTTGGTTCCGTAACCAGAAAAATAATGTTTACATGCAATTACTAAAATATATAAACTATAATGGTTAAATCAAAGAAATTCACTCTTAAATTTTATAAATTAAAAAAAAAAAAACTTGCCAGTTCTCATAAGCTTCGGAGTAGGATTTATATCCTTCAAATTTCACTACCTTGGTGGATTTTTTAACTGTTGACTCCAGTGGATTTTCATCTTTATTATAATTTATAGTCCATTTCTAAATACAGGAGAATAAACTCAATATGTTTTATTCTGTTTCAAATCTATGACAGTTGATGAATAACAGAATATAATATACTCACTTCAGAAAGCTTGATATCATCAAATATAATTTGGAGAACACGTATAGAATGTAATATAAGTTCACATTTTAAGTTTACCATAGAACGATCGGTTCTCAATAAACACCATAACACATCACACATCATGATATAATGCTCCATTGAATCCTGTACAAATGTGATGCGATTCTCTATTGTTTCCAAGTCTAATATCTTTCTTTTTGCATCTGTGATCACTAAACTGTTGGTACGTTTCTGCATATCGTTAATTTCAGCGGTAGTCATATGTAGATCAGCATCAATTGTTACTTCTCGTTGTCTTATGAACTTGGAAATATAACTATGAAGTAAATTAAAATAGTTGGTTATGTTATATTGCAATAAAAAATTAAAATTACAATAGTACACTAATTATTTAATTAAGTTTACATAACTGTAACATCGAATCAATTTTTCTAATTAATTAAAATTGTATTCCAAATTTCAACTTAAAATATTTGGGAAAATACTATGGTGTTTATTACATGTTAATGTTATACTTTTTTGTTTTGTTCTAGTAACTTTTTTTATCAATTTCCATAAAAAGTACATTGGCTTACAAAAAAAAAGACAAAATTTAGTTAACTAAAATAAAAGATACTATGAATTACATGGGAAGTGAATATTTTAGTTATATTATAAATAATAGTATATTATATAGATTTTGTTTTGGTTAGTGATTTTTTTTTTTTAAATAAAACTTACGTTTTCAAAGCTATTTCATTTGAGTATATAAACATCTTGCTCTTTTGGAAATCATTTTTGATAATATTTAGGTCATTTAATGCCATATTTATTTTCATAATCTCGCATCTTACATGCATTTCACGCAATCTTAATTCTGTAATACTACAATGATTTCAATAAATTTTGCCACATGTATAATATGAAGAATATTAAAATATGAACCTTTGAGAAACTAAACTTAGTTGATGAATTTGTCTAGAAAATAAATCGTCTTCATCACAAAATATTTTTTCCTGTACATTACAAAATGAAATTTTAACTATTAACCCATAAAAGTATGAGTTATATAAATAATTATACTATACCGATCCAAACCACAAATCGATCATAGTCAAAATTTCTGTGCGCCATAATTTAGTTAATTTTATTATTTTTGTTGATGCCAATTTTGTTAAACAGACATCATCCTAAAAATTGAAATTTAGGTTTTAAAATAAAAATAATTATGTATACCAATAATGAATTTAATAATTATCTCTAATTAAAAATAATAATTAATCAATCTAAATTATCAAAATATTTCAACAGGTATCTAACATATAAGATGCCAATCTATAAATATTTATGAATATAAATGCATAATTTCATTATAAGAAAAAAAATTTAATTATTTGGCAATAATTCTTCCTATTCTTTTCATAATTTGATAAATGTATGATATACACTATAAAATCCATGCCAACTTCTAAATTGAAAAATTATTCAACAAAAATAAAATGTATACTATGTTAGATTGTAAATGATTCTGTAATACGTTGACAGATTTTTCTAAATTAAAAAATCAATTATAATTATAACAGTAACTCTTACATTTTTAATACTGCTGATCACATTGTCATGAAGTTTCCTTAAATTAATTCCAAATTGATCCAATTCTTGCTCAAACAACTTCATAACACAATTAAAATTTTCATTAATTTGGAAATAAGAATAATTAACACATTCTCGTTCTTTTAATTTCAATAAAATTAAATTATCGACTTCAGATTTTTTTGTTCTGAAAAATAATTAATTTTCTTAAAAATACTAGGAATTAAATTTTGTATGAAAATAGATTAATAAAGCATTATTAAAAAAAAAAAACACAAGTTATTAATATAATTAAAGAATACATAAAATAATATGGTTACAATTGGTCAAAGTTATGTAGGTGGGAAAATCCGATTTTGTTCTTATAATTTTAATTTATATAATCATACATTATTTGACATATAAAGGGAATAAAATGAAGTTAATGGATAATATGTAAAAAAAAATTAAGGATTGTTATAAACAAGATACCAATAATAAGATTAATAATTTAATAACGCCAACAATTCATAATAATTACTATTTTATTTAAATTATTAAATATTGGGAAATAAAAAAAGATCAAGATGGAAAATTGGACAACAAGATCTTTCACTACCACGATTATACCACTATATGGTAATTAGAATTAATAATATTATTATTTATGGTAGAGTCATAATAAAAAAGTTGAATTGATATTACAAATAATAAAATTTTAATGTTTCATAGTACATTTATCAGCACTAAAAATATACCTAGACAAAGTTATAAAAATCTGGCAGTTTAATTTTATTACCGAGTTAATCTTTTAACTTCTACTTGGACATTTTTATCATTCTAAATAAATATAAGGTTCATATTTATAATTTTTCTACCGATACCTATAAATTTATAATTTATTTTATACATACAATATAATTATTTCTATATATAAGCACATACTCATTTAAAATAGATCATTATAATAAAATAATAAAAAATAAAAATGAGTAAATATTTAATACTCGTAAATTAATATATAAATCAATAAAAACTTAGCACAGAATATTAATATATTTGTAAAGTATGACCAGTTTCAAAAGTATATAAAGTTAATAAAATTGTGACTGAATATAAAAAATAATACAGCAACTAAACATTAAAAAATATTTTTTCATATTCAGTTACAATTTTATTAACTTTGTATACATAACTTAGTAACTTAGTGTACTTCGTATGATAAATTTTTAATTCGAAACTGGCCGTACTTAACAAATATAATAATACTTCAGACTAAGCTTTTATTTATTTATTTCTATATATAAACTATTTGTTTATTTATTTATATATTCATTATAAATATTGTAAAATTATAATAATAACTTTTTACTTATGTTAAACATTATTATCATATGATACAAAATCTACGTACTCGTATAAATCTTTACATGTTTTCAATTTTTCCAAATCTTGCTCAGAATTTAAAATTTTTTTTTCCAAAGCTTCTAGATCTGAAGAACATATTACTGAATCTTTAGTAGTCGCATTGTAAAATCTATTAATAGAATTCAACACTTGATCCAAAGATGAAAATTGATCATATCTTGACAATAGAGCATTGTACCTACAAAAAAAAATAAATTACTAAAAATATGTTACATATACATATCATATTATACATTATATTCAAGTTGATATAAAAAAAAAAAAAATGTTATAAATCAAAATATTACAAATAAATTAACATCGAAGATAAAATAACTTCGTAAAATGATAACCACCAGCATCCGATTTGATCTTTATTCATCACACTAGGCCGTGTTGACGAACGCCGCAACATACGAATAGTTTTATTCAATGCGGACCGTACAACGAAAAAACCACAATCTGATGATCAATGATGAGCACAAGTAGACACCAATGCAATCGAGTAGAGATGGGTTTAAACGTTCACCTAGATGAACTTGTTCATCATTCATATGTATTACTTATTGTTCACAGTTCTCCATATCGACTATCAACGATACAGGGAACTAGTCATTCACATAAATGAACGATTCAGTGATTCAGTCATTTCACCGTTCATATTATGTAATATATTGTATTACATAGTGTTCATAGTGTGTTCTCTGTACATACGGGTATATGAACATCAGAAGACTTTGAAGATATATGTTCATATTTCAGATGTCATTATTGTTACTTTTTATTTTTGTTTTTATATATTTTGACATAAAAATAAGTGTATATGTCTTTAACTAATGCATTATGTATCGGTTAGATAGTTGAGTAAGTTGAGTAAAAGTAAGCAAATCAATTTAAGTATTATGACATGGATATTTTTCAATTAAAAATGAAAAAAATGAAACACAAAAAATAGTGAACTATTCAATCTGTACTTTAAATCGTTCATCATTCAAAGTGAACAGTGGTAAATACTATTTAGTGCTGGGATGGCAAACCTTTTGAACACGCAGTGTTCAAAATTACATTTTTTTTTTTTTTTTTTTTTTTTATAGAGCGTGCCATGAAAAAAATATTAAAAATATTATATTTTGTTATATTATAATTTGATTGTATAATTAGTATAAAAAGGTTAGTTTAGGTACATAATAATAATAATAAATAATAATAATAATAGTTATAATAATATTGCTTTGTTAATTATTTATATTATATAATATATAATAGTAAAAATTTTCGCGTGCCATGGATTTGCCATCCCTGATATAGTGTATAGTAGTACAGGATGTGAACTTTATGAACGAAATGAACAATAAATGACTTGTTCATCTTAATGTTAACTAGTTTATATCGTTCACTTAAGTGAATAGTTCGATTGACCTAGGCCATTCACGAATGACACATTTTTACTATCGAGAACTTTCAATGAACATTTTTGAAAGGTCGGCGCAATAATATACTCACAGCTCTAATTCCCTGGGTGTCACGCAATTGGTTTTCGGCGACAATTTGTTTACAAGCAACGCGAAAACTGGTTGCAATTCCGGGAGCCGTTCCTCATTAACCCACAAATCTTTGGGCAAGTGTCCAACGTGGTAGCCGATGCCTGTGAGCAATTCCAAAAAATGTTTAGAGACTTCCATTGTTCCTCTCCACGTCTAGCAATCACTGAATTAACGATTATTATTGTCCAGACACCGTTTTCGACCCGTTGAAAAATCTAAAACACAATACTATAAGTAAAAACGCGGTCCACAATCCACGCTGATCAGTGTTCAAAAAGCCGACGAATGGGCGCGAACGCGTAAACGATAATATTACTATGCGAATACACGCGCACGAAGGTTAGCCATACGGGCATGGGCACGATGTAGCCGGAACATTCGAAAACCACTGGCATTCGAATTCCTTATCAACGCCGGAAAAAGATAACGATACGGAAACGCAATGTGATCGGTCAACAGACATTTTTATTTATTCTCCTCGGTGTAGGTACATTATAATAGTTATTGTATTATTTTTTTTTTTGTCTCGTAAGTCGTCGAATATTATTATTAGTTTCACGTACGATTCGTCCCCGGACGTAAAATTGTAGTTTGTAATTTTTTTAATACATATGTAATCTATTATCGACTACTAGAGTTTGATATTTTTAACCGTCTTAGGCCGCGCGCACATTGTGTACGAATTTGTTTCGTATGAAAACGTACGAATACTGGTCGTACGAATTGATTGCGCACATTGAATACGTTTTTTTCCGTAAATTTTATTTAATTTATTCATTTATCCATTGCCGGCGTACGAACGTTAATGAAATCCGGACAAGTTCGGATTGTTTTCGTACGTCAAAGTTACACGTACGTATACGTACGAACAAATCGCACCAAGTCTGCACGCTCACATAGTATTTGGTAGATCGGGATCGTTCGTGCGTGTACGTACAAGTTCGCACGAATCAAATTCGTACGAAAACGCATTCAATGTGCGCGCGACCTTACTCTTATGCGTTCAAGACTCATGACTGAACGCAAATCATTAGAACAAAATTATAGGAAAGGGTATTCGATTCTTGGTCCACGATAGGACGGGATCTTAAAATTTTCCCTGAGCGTAAAAATGCCTAGTTCCGCTTCTGCACTTCGATACATTGTAAAATGTACTTACTCTCCGTGTCGACTGCACCCGATTTTCCCGGTAGAAATTTCTGACCCAGTCCGGCCCTGTCTAAAGAGACACAGTACACCGGAACGTGTATCTGCACAGCGATCGATGACCGATGCTAAAGGCGATGATGATGATCAGACAACCAGCGCAAAGGCATCAGCGACAAAGATAATTATTATTATGATCATTGAAATGGCGGGCGCCGTTGTTCGCGGCACACCAGTGTAACATTTGACCGTCAGGTTGGCACCACCAGCCGTAAAAATAATATGTTCCGCTATCGTTTTTATCAGACCAGAGTTTTTTCTCATTGCTCTGTACCGCACGTACATCGACGATTAACCCTTACGCCCTCGACAGTACTTTCCTCGGTCGACGATACCCGTTTACAGTTGACTACCGTCTTCGATCCGTACATTATTCACGATGGTGAGAGAATTCAAAGCCCCCGTCAATGTTTCGCCGCTCATCAGGGTAAGTGGCCCCAGCGAATTGTTCCTGAACGGGTTACGTCACCGCCGCCTGCAGTTTCCCCGGTGCCCGCGACCGTCATGTCGTGGGGCCGTACGTTTAATAAAACCATGCTTTCCGTGTCCGCCCGGCACGTCCAACCATCCGGGTCGGCATCGCGGCCGGTTCCTCGAAATTCTCGTCCTTTTTAGAACGCGTTACATAAAATGATAACGACGCTGTCGTTCGCGTGTAAATATCTACTTTTCATAACTTTGTTCGACGGGTTTTTTCCGCGTCAAAAACAACAGATCGGTCGAAAAAATTATACGATGTTGCTAAATTAAAAATACGGAAATCGGTTTACATTCTACGTATATATCTTTGGAAATTGAACAGTCGTCGCTGTTAAAGAGCTTCCATCGGTTTATAATGAATCATAAATTAAAGTTTCACACTATTTTATTGTGTTTAATATTATTTTAATGTTTGAACTAGAAATAAATATAAATATTATATACATTTTAATATTCTGTTATATATATTCTATATAGGTCATTTAAAAATGTTTTTTTTCTTTTTTTTTTTATCAAATTATTGAGTAAGTTCAACTAATTGTTTAAAGTATTAATGAATATTATTGATAATACTATGATATAAATGTAATATTTATATGTGTACATTATAATCTTCAGAGAATTTGAGAATATTTATAACATTTTGATATATATATATATATATATATATATATTTGGTTTTTAATGTCAAGTGAAGGTCGATGATCTTACAAACTTTCATTTTATCTTAATATGATATTTAAGTTATAACAACTATTTTTGCAGTGTTTAACCATTTTATGTTTATTATCTAACTAAATATTTCATTAACTACCATTAAAATACAATAGTTATATGAGTTGTAAGATTATTTTTTATTCAAGTAATTTAATTAAAAATTTCAATATTTTGAATTATTTAGATAGTTTAATTAAAGAACCTATTAGGTTAGATATTATAAAAAATATTATTTGAATGAAAAATAAAGTTATTTTTATTAGTACACATTTTTATGAATATGTATAATGCACATTTTATTTGCCCTAAGCAATATATTTTTTTTTCTTATTATTATTTAGTTTTCCCGATGGAGTTTTCTGTTGTTGGGTGCAACTTATGGAGTTACAAGACATAGTTATCTCCAAAAGAAAGAAGATAAAACCAGAGATCATCGTCTACAAATAAAAGCTGAAAGGGAAGCTTTGATTGCAGCAGAAAAGAAGAAACTTCGCGATGGTAATATATTTTTATTTTTTTTTACTCTATGAATATAAGAACTTACAGTTAAAATAATTTATTTCTAATAAAATAAGCTAGCTAATAAATTAATATTTGATATTTATATGTATATTGTAAAACATTTATCTGTATTAAACAAAAAGTCTTAATAAAAAATGTATAAATATTTATATTTTATTGGGTTATTTACTAAGTTTATTTTATTTAAAATTTAAATATTTAGTGAATCATTCAATGTATAATTCAATATCAACTTAAAATAAATGTATAAAATAGTTTCATGATAAACTGCAGTATAGGTTAGTTTCTTTTTTAATAAAGCAATAAATGTATGTTATTGTATTGTATTTATACTGTCTACTTTTAGTTCATACTTATTATCATAGTTTGGGACTTCTAACAATATTAAGCACTAAAATATCTACTAATTTATTTATTATTTATAATTATTAATTAGTATCACTTACATTAAATATTACTCAATTTCTTGAAATAGGTGCTTTCCCAGTTTTTTAATTTTATTAAAAATTATTAAATAACTTTACTATTATTGACCAGCCAGCTGTCCGAAGTATGTTCATTGGGAATTCTTTAGTTTTATATGAACGTTTTATAATTAGATTGTGCTTTACAACTAATAGGAGTCATCATATTTTCTAAGAATACAATAATTTTTCCTCCAAAAAAATTATAAAAACTGTGGGTTATATTGTAAATAGATACGTATAATTACATTAATATTTTATTTTTTCGATTGGTTAAAATTTGTACAATTTTAATTTTTTAAATTTGAATCATTTGTTAAAATATGCTGAATAAGCAGTAGCACTTTCCTGTAAAATCTATGAAATATATAAAATTTGCAGATTTAAATTTCAGATTTGAACTCATGGCATTGACAAATTAATTTATTTCATACACTACTATATTTTATAATAAATTAAAAAGTATGCAGAATAAGTAGAAGAAAATAAAAAGTATGCTTAAGTCTCAAACCCTGCTCATTATAATATAATCATAAGTCAAACACTGGAAATAAAATAAAATATTTTAATATAATTTAATTTCAATTAATAATACAAAAAAAAAATGTTTGATTAATTAATTTTATGTTATAAATATAGTTTTTTAGAATAATTATTTTTAAGTTTATACATCAGTAATGAGTTACTGATTTTTTTTGATTTTAAAATACTTATTTTAATTTTTTTTTTTTCAGAGGAAGAAAAAAATTTGGACCTTATGTTTAATCCACCTAAGACTACATAAAAACATCAGTTAATTAAACTAACATAATAATTATTTTGATATTTTGTGTTTCATTCATCCACAACAACAAATATGAATTTCTCAATATAGTACATGTGTCCAATTTAATTGTAGGTAGTGTAAAACATAATAATTTAAATTGCTGATAAAGGTCTTATTGTGTAGGTAAAATTAATTCATGCATTACTTTTTCTGTATAAAATAAACTTTTAAACTAGATGAACTTGTTTTTTGTTTTTTTTTTATATAATTATTTATTATTTTCCTAAATTATTTTATGATTGAACATTGCTTTTACCAGAATGTGTCTCACATCCCAAATCTGTAATGAACTTTGATGAAAGTTCTTTTTTATATTTATTTGTATTAAATTGAGGTAATTATAATGTAACTATAAACTTTTAAAACACTGCTAACGTAAGTTTTATAAACATTAATTTGTAGTTTATAAACAAATACCAATTTATAAGAATTTTCCTAAGAAATAATCAATACATTTTAGGCATTCACAACATTTTTAATTAATAAATTGCAAACAAAGTAGTTTAACACATTAAGGATACATATTTGGGATACAATAATTAGATTAATTTTCTTTATACATTAACACAATTTTATAGATTATAGATAATAGTTAGTGAAAAGCATAGGTACAAATACAAAAAAAAGTTAATTTTATGAGAGTTTTAAAACAATAAATATAATAACATTTTCATAGTAAATAGTCATATTGTACATGAATAATAGTGATTTAACATTTTATATTTTTCAAACGTATAAAAGTCAAAAAAAAAAAAAAGAAGCAAATTAAGTAAAAATAATTAATTTAATATAATTCAAAAAATAACTGCAACTATTTCGTTTACCAAATATTTTTATTGTTGACTATATTCTGGCAATGGTTTTACAATACCCTGGGTAAACGCATAATGTATACAACTGCATACAAATTTATATTGATTCTAAAAAAAAAAAAAAAATGATTTAAGTAATGAAAATGTTTAACATATTAACATATGTAGCAAAACATTAAATGAAGGAAAAAAATATTATAAAGTGAGTTTACATAGAAATATGTTAACTTAATTGTCAGTTACTATGTATTTGTTTATATTGATAACATGTTATTATTTCTGTAAATCATACTTCAGTATGGGTTTTAGACTCATGTTATTAACAATTATATTAATAGTCAATAGGTACTAATAAAATAAAACATTACCAAAGTTACATTACACTACATAGAAATATGACTTTTATATAATTTCATTATATAAAATGATAACTTACAGAAGTTTGCACCATCATAGCTCGTTGATCACGCATTTGTCGGACAATTTCTAAAGGATAAACAGGTTGGCCTGCTTCTAGTAAGCATAATGCAGTCTCTAATAAAATTATGACACCAGTACGTCCAATACCTGCTGAACAATGTATAACGACAGGTTCAACCACTCCAATACGTTCTTTACGAACAGCTTCTACCAAATTTAATAAACGATCAGAATCGTCTGGTACACCGTGGTCAGGCCACAGACTATATTGAAGTTGTGTTACTGATCTAGTTTCTTCTTTCTATAAAATATAATTAAACTTTACTTAACTGTATAAAATAATATATTATCTAAATATTGTTTACATATACTGCAACATAATAAATTATATATATATATATATATACATTAGACACGTAACTAATGTCAAATTTCATATTCTGGAGGAAAATATAATACTCAAAGCATATATTAGGTATTTAAAAAAGCAATTAAAATTTTTATTTTTTATAGCCTAATTTTTTTTTCTAGTTCAAATAATGATTATGTTTAAGTACCACCAACCAATCCAAACCAATCACTAACTAATAAAAATATTCTTAGATATTTACCTGTTTAATATACCTACCCGAGATCAACCCCAAAGATCTACTATTAATTATATCTTTTATGTACAAACGTACAATAAACGACATTAATTTTAACACATTTATTAACTATATCTACGTAAAAACTAGAATAAAAATTACTGATAGAAGGTTAGTGTAAGTCACTGAATGACAGACTTAGTACACAACTAACTGGCTCTATAGTGCAGTAGCTAATCGCCATCAATCATAGGTAGATTAGAATAAGAACACTTATAATTGTTGAACTTAGATTTTTTATTTTTGATAATGCACATTAAAAAAATCATGAATATGATATTGGATGGTCGAATAGCACTTTATTTTTTAGTAAATTTCTAAGGAAATACATTAAATTATACACCATTGCGGTATAAAAGACTGGAATACTTACAGCTATATCAGTTAATTCTATTTGTCGGTATACAATAATATTGGAAGTATCAGTCTCCTCAGATACTGTTTTGATAGATATATTGCTATTAATTTCTAATGACTCATTAACTGGAGGCCAATATTTAGCACATTTCTGTCGACCTTTTTCAACAAGTGCAGTGACCATAACAATTAAGGTGCTACGAGATTCTAATACCATTTGCCAAAAATCACCAATCGTGGTTTGAAGTGGTCCTATGTAGCATTTAACAAAAAATATAATGTATAGATATAAATAATTAATTTATCTAATCATTAATAATATAAACCTTGTGTTGCTATGTATCTGTTTATGATTCCTGAACCAGGTATTTCCATATTAACATGATTGGCATTTATATAGTCATTTTCTTGATCTTTGAGAATAAATCGAGTACTATCATCTGTAAATATTTAAATACACATAGTATTAAATTTATATACAATAAATTGTAAAATATTTTATGAATACAATTAATTTTTATCTAGTTTATCATGAGTTTTCATAATATTTTTTGTACGCAATACTGATTAAATGTATATGTACTCGTTTATGATATACTTACAAGGAGCTATATCACGGTATCTATTTTTATGTATATTTTGTGTTGTTCTTGCTGCATCCATGGGAGTTTCTGGTTTATGCCTATACAACTGTTCAAACTGTGTTAACAATGATCCACTTGCTAAACCATCCCCGAGTAATAATATTGATTGAATTAATGGATCAGATGACATAATACTTGGTGGGGATTCTGGTATATATTGAAATAAAGGTTCTTCTTCTTTTTCTTTTAAACAGTCATCATCTTCATTACCTATACACATAATTTAATAACATTAATATTTTACTACTGTATTAGACTACATGCAATAACACATTAATATTTCATAAAAATATGTTGAAATTTATAAAAATTAAAAGTCACAAAAGTAAAACAGAATTTCATTCAATATTTTTTTGATATAGTTGATTATTTAGATTTATATGTTTCATTTAGTTATAAATTGTTTAAATCTTCTCCGATTAATATTTACTATATTATTATGCTATTTGCTATGGTTACTAAATGCTGTTAGTAAAGAAATGCTTATACTTATAAAAGTAGATACAATATAGTGAACTAATGTTCAAAAGATAAAATAATATTTTGTATACAAATTAAATTTTTAGTAAATAACATAGTTGATTTACCTTATTTAATTAATAAAACATTAATAGTTAATAATATTTAATAAAAAGACTAAAGAGACTTCAAAAAACAATTTTTAGTAAAAGATCATAATTAAGTTTAAGTTTCTTAAGTCAAATGAAATACATATTTAGTAGGAGAACCAAATTTCTTAATGAGGTACCTGGCCATTAATTTAGGGTTGCCATAAATTTATAAGGCGAAGCCGGGACAAAACAAACATATTATTGAATAGTATACTTATTACATAACTTAATATATGGAGTGGACCATTAATGACCGGCAATATAATATTTAAAAATATTTATGTAAAATAAAATATATAATATATTTATGTGTAAATAACAAATTATGTTATTATTATATATTGTTAATCGATTACGATTAAAAATGTACTCTGAGATAAAATCGTTGAAATTAAAATTTAAACAATTCTACATTTCCTCTAAACGCTTATAAGGTTTCTAAGGTGCGACAGGTCGCTACGACAAGTCATCAACATCTGTTTGTATGAAAATATTATTCATTGGTTGGCAAGACGCGATAAGTCACAGCAACCTAACTTTGAGTCATCGCGACCGACAACTAATGCTCCGAGAGCAGTACCTTGCGACATGTCGCCGCGAAACATTACAACGACTATTGAACGTTTGTAGATATAATGGCGTCAACACTGATATTCTCGGCATCGGAAGACGAAATTCTAATTCGTGAAGTCCAGAATAATACACTTTTTTACAATATTGGAAATCCAAATTATAAAAATATTATTCAAAATGATGACATTTGATCATCATTAATTATTCTCTATCCCGATATATAAATAATGAATTTATAGGTTTTCTAATGTTTGGTGATGAGGTAACTAAAATTTGTTGTTGTTGTTCTTCTTCTAATAATAATAATAGTGTAAGAAAAATATTATTATTATTTAAAATAAATCTATTCGTTGTGATATGATATTATATTATATTATATGAAAAATACGTGTGCACTTGAACAAGTTTAAAAACGGATGCTGACCGAATACCAGTTGTGTCGCGTCTTGGAAACCACTTTATCCAAAAAGCGTCGCGACGACTTGTCGCCGCGACATGTCATACCTTAGAAACCGTAACTTAAGTCGGGACATGTAGACGTCCCGAAAATATTTTTCGGAACACCGGAACACGATGTCCAAAACCGGTGACAATCCCGGTTTCCGGGACGTATGGTAACCCTACTTTGATTTAAAGTAAAATTAAAAAAAAATTTAAGTGTAATTAAAGAAAATTTCAAGTGTCTATAATCAGAAAAAATATTATGAAAATATTTCAAAGATAATGAAATGTCTATAAAACGTTAATATAAGTTATCCAATGGTATCGTGTGAGACAAAATTAGGCGATACCGAGTTCAAAAGTTATTTGTAATTATTTCTTAATCATTTGGAAAACTGTTGAGGTATTCCAAAAATAACTTTCTTTATTAGACATCATTTTTATTGGAAATCTCCCATGAATGTGATGATCTGATCAATCCTTGACGGAATCGTGTACACACACACACACAATATAAATAAAAACACAAACCTAAATTTATTCAAGTTTATTTTAATGTAGCCCACTAGCCCCCCTCCCTATATACGCCACTGGAAGACGGTATTATTGTATCTAGTAAATAATCCATATTCAGTACTATAGTGTCAAATTATGACACTTAGACATGTAGTATAGTATATAATAATATATATTATACTATACTCATATAGCAGGGATGGGCAACTCAATGTTACTAGAGGGTCAATTTTTAGAAAATTAAAATCCAGCTGGTCAAAGAATAGGAAAAAAGTCATTTAAAATATGAATTTTAATTAGCATTTATATACACCGAAATAATAAATTCAACACACATGACAGCACGACAAGATATTTTAAAATTGTATTATGTAATTTAAAAATATTGCACGGACCAGATAATAAAGGCTCTACATACTCGTATTATATTATATTATTATTTTTATTTTTTTAGTTCAATTATAGAGCTCTACACAAAAATATAAAGGTCGTATCAAATGTACTTTGTACTACATAAACTTTAAAGATTATCTTATGATTACTTGTGTCGTACTGCCGTGTTAGTTTTTCTATGTTTACCCCAAAAAAAAAATGAACGAAAATTATTCAACTATGTTTGAAAATCATCCAAATAATAATTTACTCGAATAAAATTTTATCTAAATAATCATCTAAGTAAAATGTTATTCAAATAACGCACTGATGATATTATAACCAATAGCTAGACGAAAATTAAAATTGATGACTTATAGATTATAATAATATATACCTTTTTGTTGTACTGTTAAAACCAATTTACCATCATGTTCTAGATCACGAGCAGCTCGAATTAAATTTACAACATCATCATGAGCCATCTCACTTACTTCTTGTCCATTTATCATTAATACCTAAATAATTTAAATTAATATAATAAATATAATTTTATGAGTATGAGCATTATTTTATTTTGCATTAAAAAAAAAAATCCGAAATAACTACATCAAATGTTTAAAACGCTATTATTCAAATTTTCATTTGCTACCAACCTGATCACCTTCACAAAGTTTAGGTTGCGCTTTATAAGCTGATGTATTAGGAACAACTCGAGACACAACAATAGGTAAACCTAAATCGGAGCCACCTCTTACATTAAAACCAAATCTTCCTTGCTTATCAGCATTCATATGAATACAAACAACATTGTTTTCACCACCCTAAAAAACATCAATACAAGTTTAATAAGGCTGTTCTTCAATATGAATAAAATACTAATTAACTTTATATATATTTAAAATTTAAAATGACATTATTATTATGTTTTATTAGAGTTTAACTCACGAGTTTGAAAGGGAATAAGAAATACATTTGAGATATCAAAAATAATAAAAGTAATTATGACGTTTACTAAATAAGATTATTTTTGAATCATATTAATTAATACATTGATATGTATACACAAGTATTTAAAATATTTGTAAAATTATAAATATTTAAAATTAATAATTTCTAAACCTAATAATTGTGTTTTATAAATCATTTTTAATTTAGTTATGTTTTATAAATTTGTTTGAGTTTTACATTATCAATAACATAATATTCTATTTATTAAATTATATAATGTTTTTATTGATAAAATTATACATACAAATAGTATCAAAAGACTAATATTCCAACTGTAAATGTAACTTAAGAACTACAAGCTGTTTTTTTTTTTTTTTATTATTATTTTAGTGTTCTTATAAATTAAGCTGTAAATTATATAATATAATTCATATGTACAAATGAGATTACCAAAGAAGATTCTGTATCATAGGCTGGAATATCATAAATACTACTAGACATATCATCATCTACATAATTTGTCATAGATCTACCAGTTGCTGGTAATCCGGTACCACTACTACTGCTACTTAGACGAACAACTGATGATATAAATCCACCTTCACTAAAAAAAAAAAAATTTAATTAATAATAAATAAATATTAAAATATTAATTATCTTTTTAAACAATTTTTACTTACTCGTCTGAAGTTGGACCCCAAGCAGGTCTTGGTTCTTTTTCAAATGATTTTATTTTGTTATCATGTGATCCCCTAGGACCTATTGATTTACTAATAGACTTTGAGTTTTTATTTTCAGTATTATTGTTAACTGTTTGCTTAGAACTGAATTTACTTTTGAATCTAAAAAGCAGATATTAATTTTTTTAAGGATGTATACATATTAAAACTAAATTATTTGAAAAAGCTTTTAAAACTCAACTCAACAATAAAACATAATTGTTAAAAGTTGAAGGAAGTACATTATTGTTTGAGTATGTGCTCTTTTAAAGAAACTTTATTGATAAACATCTGAACACTTCAAATTTTTGTTTAATATTCATTAACACTAAATCTTTTTACAGTCAAATATTATGAAATAAAGTCAAACGGCTCAATACTCACCATAATAATTATTAACCTTATACATCAGAAATTATTTTTATGTTTTTTTTTTTTATAAAACCATTGGTTAAATAACCAAAACTTTCCGTTAGTATTATAAAATTTGAACAGTGTATTATTTAAATATTACCTTAGAAAGGTTCGGTGGGGTCGTGGTTGTGATATACGACTTTCTTCAATCGTTTGTATTTCGGTTCGGCCAGAATAAGAAAACCTTGAACCCAGTAAAAACGGTGCTGGAAATAATCGCCTAAAACCTCTATTATTTGATTGACATATTGGTTGATTTAATCGAAAAAAAGAATGATGTTCTACACAAGTTTTCCATAAATTTTTGGATGAACGATAAGTCATCATGTTGAATCCCAATACTGTATCATAATCTTCTGACTGTAAATATTTTGATTTTTAAACAGAAACATGATAATAGTACTAAATAAATTTGATTTCCTTACCATTTCTCTTCGTAATTGAACAAAAAAATGTCTACGTTTAAATGATATTTTTACAATTTTGGCCCATGATAACGTATTTATTCGAATATTATTTTGAAATACAACCAAACCATTACATGTAACACCAATATCTAATTCTTTATCAGAAGAGTCCTAAAATATAATAAAATATTACTACTTATTATCTTATGTTTGCGAATAACTAATAATTCACTCTAAGTGGTACGTTTTTACTTTGTAAATAATATTTAAGCTAACTTATCTACTAGTTTCTAACTGTCAAATGTATTACAGCTGATTGCCAAGCTATGAAATTCAATAAATCTACGCCTAACACAGAATTATTAAGTTATTTTATATATCTATTGCAGTCTGACACTTAAAACATTATAATTATTTTTTAATTGAAAATAAAACTGAATAGGTAAAAAAGTACTATAAACATGATATTTTTAACACTAGATTTATGAACAGTCTTCTGAAATATTGCCATGAAATATTTATGTTAGCAGAAAAGTTATGTTGTAAATAGCTCTAATATTTTGCTATAAATAGTAAATGATTACATGCCAATTTATATTTATAGAATTACAATAAAAATATATTGGATTTAAAATAAACAAATAATGTAAATACGAAATGAAAATGTATACCTATTTTAAAAAATTTGTCTTTTATGAATAACATTTGACCAATATAAGTATAAAAGGAACTAAATAGCTAGTTTATAAGAAAAACTTACTTTTGCTTTGTGTAAATCAACACCATACATATCTAATCTCTTTGCATGATCTAGGAAGTTGAATTCAGCATCTGCAGGAGATTGACCCCTATTCAATTAAAAATAAATTAAAGACATTTTTGATTATGAGCATTTCCATACAAATTACTTATGTAATTTATGTAGTTCGAAAATTTGATTTTCCAATTGTTCTGTTTGACCTGGTATAAGAACCATACCAGATAGATATCCAGGTTTATGTTCTTCGGGGTGATAATCTCCAAGTTCAGCTACAATATTAAATTTGTATTAGGTTATTTGACTTATTAATTAACTATTCTTTGTTTGGAAAAACACAATTACATTGAACCATGTAGCTAGCAAGGAGACAAGCTGTACTTGGAGACACGAAAAGTTTTCCATTTAATATATCTTTTCGTAGTTGTAAATACAAATGGTAACGTGTATATTCTTCTTGAAGTTTACTTGGATCAGATACATAAAATTTAACACGAAAATAAAAAAAACCACCTGAAATCATAACATTTTAGTTTAGTTTAAATTCACAGTTTAAAACCCTAATCTATAACATACTATATAATTAAAAGTACAATTGTATATATATATATATAAACAGCGAGTGTAAAAAGTAATCACACATTCAATGTTTTTAAATAAATATACATTTTTCTCAATAATATTTTATTTTAATCTAAAAACTATTACTTACATATTACTGTCTTGTGATTTTTATTTAAAAAATGTATTACAAAACAAAAAAACTATAAAAAAAAAATAATATTAATAATAATAAATATAACAAAAATATTCTATATATCAAAATTAATGTTAGTAAGTCTCTTATGTTTTCCTAAACTACAAACTAATTTTGAATATATTAGGTATAGAGACAGATAAGACCTCGGAGAAGGACATAGACTACTTTTTGTCACGAAAAAGAAGGAAAGGGAAACATTAGTAGACCTGATAAGGCCCGAACGAACAGTTATTGTTTTGTTATTGCTATAACAATCGAAAAAACAGAAAGAAATTTCACTGTCACACATCTCAGTGCTCCTAGAAAATGGTGAACGTTTATTTTACTAAAAATAATTTTCAAGACTATCTTTTCCTCCAAAAACGACACTCACCACTGTATCTGTATGTCGAAATACCGATGTATTACACTTGGAATACAACATGGAGAGAATGGAAACGCCGAACTCAAGAAAACAGTTGAGGGAGGAATTGGTTTACTGACACTTTTATTTTCATATCAGTAACAATTATCTGTACTACCAAAAACGTTTTAAAATGTATAAGTATTATTTGCTGGCTTTTCATTTTAAGATTACTATTTTATAAGAAACATATTGAAAGAGAACTTAAATCACAGTAAGAACCAACATGACCAACACGAAAGATGATACAATCCACCAACAATTATTGAAGTGGCGATCGTTATTATTGGCGAAGAATCTAACTTACATGATATAATTCTTAATCCATTAAAAATTAAGTTTTGGCAGACTGTTCCGTACGAAACAGGGTAATTCAACTAGTAAATATTTAATATATTAATGTTTAGGATCCTTCTCTGTGTAAAAACAAAACTATCTTTGATGCCCATTCTTTTAGCATTGGCTATAAGATGTGTCTTCATAATATTTAAATAAATGTCTTGATTCATAATGCCGTCAATAAAATGCACATTTCTGAGACTCTGGGCACTCATACAGCCTCAAACTATTACGAATCCTCCTCTGTTTTTATCTAAAGGTTGTAAATTTTTTGATTCCATCTCTGCATTCACTTTTCTTCATTCTTCCATCCAAGCCAAAAGTATTAAATTTACTTTCGTCTGTAAATAATACTTTGTTTCAATTACTAACAGAATGATAAAAGCTGTCTCTTGCAAAAACAAATTTCTTTTTTCTATTTTTTTTTTCTAAAAACATTTTTTACGAGCTATTCGACTATGGTAATCACTGTTCTTCAAACAATTTCTAATTGTATTTCAAGTACATATTCCAGAAAAATATGCAAGATCTGGTGCTATTTTAGGAGTGCTAATTTTTATTAGATCTATCTTGACTTTTCGTGTGACTAAAAATTTATTATGGTCTAAAAGTGTTTTTGGCCGACCAAGCCGTCGCTTTTTAATAACATTACTATGGATAAACTGGCTTTTCCGTCACTAAAATTGAAATGTACGAATATTTAAATTTATATAATCTAATATATTATTATTATTATTATTATAACTAATGTCGTATTTTTTTTAAAAAAAATATTTAAAAATCATAAGTGAATAATATGCAAGTGTAAGTTTATAGATGAAAATAAAATATTATTGAGAAAAAATTATATTTATTTAATAATATGAAATAAAGCAAAATTCAAGTATTTAATATAAATTAAGTACTTTATTTTTATCACATTTTTAAAATCGACAGTTAAATATTTAATATATATTCATTATACAAAAATTATCTATCGTGTATATTAACATATATATCAAAATAATTTAATAGGAAAAAATAATTTTAAAAATGCTATAGTTAACTATATTCATTTACCTCTCATTTGGTTTTTAATACTTTTTTGGGGATTCAGCCATCTCTAAAATGATTAAAAATATATATATTATACAATATTCAATAAAATTAACAAACGATAAAAAACAAACCAATATATCTGTATTTGCTGCAGATGGAGTTAGTCCATTTTCAGTAAATTGTAAACCGAAATATTCTTTTTCGATTAATTCTAAATGTTGAAATACTGCTTCTAATAATACTTGGCCTTTGGCACGTTTCTACATAATTAATTTCATTAAATACAAGTTTAATAAATATATAAGATAAATAAATATTTCACTTACATCAAGTTTAAAACAATGTTGAGTGTCGTCAAGGAATATAACTGTAGCATTAATTGATTTCAAGCGACCTCGATCTACAGCTAATTCGGTAGCACGAACATTGTATGTGCCACTCGATCCAGCTAAGGTTCGTCTTGACACACCTTCTATCATTATATGTCATAAGTAATCCATATGAAATTTTCTAAAAATATACACACATCAATAATTCAAAATGAAAATGATCCCCATAGTCTACTACAGAAGTCTTAAAAATAATAAATAACTTAATTATAGCGGAAAAATATTTAAAAGATTTGATGATACACATCAATAATGCTAGAAATCAAATTGTCGAGACTAATTATAGTTACTAATAGTCAACTAACCTCTAATACATTCCTTAAATGTTTAGTTTGTGTTACCTATCTAATTTCTGTTTGTTTATGAATATAATATTGACTGAACTCAAATAGGCACCTATACAGTATATTATTTATCTCTCCGAATTGAATTAATTATAAATAAAAAACTTTAATTAAATAAATATGAATTTAAATATTTAATTTATAATAGAGTTTAAAAGAATTTCCTACCATGATTTGTTTTAATTATTTATTAACACGAAATGAAGAAAAAATATTCTGTAACTACAAATAGGATATATTTAGATTATACATATGACCAATATTATTTACAGATAATTTCAAATGATATAATATTTTTATTATTATAATATTAACTCTAGTTACATCAAATTCTGTAATGTTATACTGTAAATAAATTCATAGAAATTAAAAATTCTTAAATTTTATCAATAATTCTATAAATCTAATTAGACTCGGGTTTTCGTATATTTGTAAAATACAAATTTAGTTATAAAAATAATAAAATTATTTCTAAATTATGTAGTCTTAATAAAATCTTCTAAAGATACGTTATACAGGAATTATAAAAACGTGAATAAATATTTAACATTTAAGTTTGAAAAAAAAAATTAAATTATGAATTATTATTTTTGCTTATTGCAACAATATATATTAACAAATAATACAATCTAGAATAAAATAATTTTATTAGTATTCAAAATCTGAAATAGAAAATAAATTTTAGCATTAAAACCAGAGTTCTGTTTACTTTGGTCTTCATGCCACGAGCCATGGAGTATTTAGCTGTACAAAAATAAATTTCAAATAAGGTCTGCAATAGTTAAACTAAAAACTAAAAATAAAAATAACTTGTGAAAAAACATGGAAAATAATTAATTGCGACTGAGTGAATCGGGCTGTATTTACATTTTATTCAAATTTCTTTACATAATTTTATATTAATTTAATATAATGGCTTAATATTTGTCGATGCACTAGTCAGAAAAAGTTAGTAATACATTTGCGATATGAAAAAGAAGGAAAAAATCTATATCTTCTATTTGATAACCCCTAGGTTAGTTAGCAAGATTTCATCTTAATTGGTTTTAGATAAATACATATGTATATATATAATATAAAGATTATTAATATCAACTTCAAATAATATCAAGTACAAAAAATGCGATTTGTTATAAGGTTAGTGGGAGCGGATCAGCGAAGTCCTCCTTCAAGTATGCCAAAAGATAATTACAAATTTTTATCCAGAGGAAATTTAAAAAAAAAATCTATTGAATTATAGAATTTATGGAGCAAATAAAACTTCGACAATTTTAATTATATTAGTAAATAAATAATATCGATAACAAGTGGACATTAGTAAAGTTAATACTACATCTTTACTTTATCATTCTAATTTTCCAAGCAGTATTGTTCCATTTTTGAAATTTAATTAACTTTTAAATTATTAATTTCAAAAAAAATGCAAGCATATCATTTTTCAATTTTAATAACTTAAATAACTCATAATTAAAAATAATAACAAGGACATACACATTGTGTTTTTAGAACTAATGACTAATGATAGATAAACATAAAATATATTTTTTCATTGTCAGTTGATATCATAAACTTAAAAGTCGTATTGTAGTATCAATTTGCTCCTATCAATCATTCGTATAACTAAAAAACATTCTAAGAAAAATATTAGTACATCTCAGTATCATTATTCCCTTCTTATATTCACATTTAATAATTGATTAAACATGACAAAAGTATATAATAAGGCGATCATTTGTAATAGTCTAAAGCAATTAGTAAATTCAGCAAACTGTAAACAATACTATTTATATAACTATAAACGGTTTTTTGATAGAAAAATGACTTATCCGGTTGAAATTCTTCTCTTTTTTGTCCCAGTTTATAAAATAATAAGTAATGCTATAATAATTAGAAAAAAAGGTTGTTTTACCTTTGATTTAAGTCAATCTAAATATTATTAAATGTTTAAAATTCCGAATGAAATAATTATTCTTAATTTTTAGATAAAAATGTCATTGGCCTTAGACTAGGTAATTTTATATTTTATACTCTCGATATTGAACATTTAGTAACAAACAACTTAACTGAATACGACAATACATTGAATTAATGATCGAATTGTTTTACTTTAAAATTTTAACAATTACAATTTTTTATTAATACATTTATATATATATTTGTAATAAATAGTAATAATACATTTAGTGCAGAGGTATAATATTCAATACTATAATTACAGTTTAATCCATTATTATATATAGTAAACTGAAAAATGTAATATATCAAATGTTATTACGTATTTGTTCGGATTAATTGCAATATAAAAGTGCTTAGTGATATCCACACTATAAAGTGATGAAACAATAATAAATGTTGAAGTTAAAACAATAATTACATTCTAATTAATATTTAATATGAAGCCTGACATTTATTCGTAAAATTATACACTTGTACACCGAAATATATTAACAAAATAATCTTAATTTATTAAACTTATATTACAAATTAATAAATTAAGATTATTTTGTAACTTATATTATAAATACAAATTCATTCGTAAAATCCTCATAAAACAAAGTGTTACGATTAATTACTGTAAATTTTCAATTTGCCTTTAATTATTTTTCAAATGTAAAACATTTTTAGTTTAAAATTAAATTACTAACTAAAAAATATGTTCACTCTGAATATCCACGAGAAATATATTTACATACAAATTTACGATCCAAAAATGTAATAAACTTATCAATTACGATTACAAATACAACTGCAAAAATGAATATTGTATTTTTTACATATTTATTTTATCTATTTAATCGTCAATAAACATTAATTATTATTTTGACTTCCGCTTATTATGATTAAATAATGTGGCGGTGTGTTTAATAAAACAGATTATCTTTTACTTAAGTTATCTTTATTATATACATATTATACTCAATCACTTAATTTTCAATTAAGTAGCTATTTAATTCACTCGATTTTATATTAAATATTTAATAAGAAAATAATAATTTACTGAAGTAAAAAATTAGAATTACGTACCTCGTTAAGTATTATCTTACTACTAACGGATAACAGTGTAACACCAGTTATTTATTGACCATGTTCTAGACTAAGAATGGAATGTAGGTATAATTTTAAAATTTTTTTTTGTAAAAAAAATGCCGAGGGTAGTAAAAAATTGTATTAAGAAATAAAATTGAATACTTTTTGGTTAATTTTAGAAAACTTTTTATTTAATAGGTAGGTATTATTGAAAAAAAAAAAAAAACATTTATTTTAAACATAATTTTTAGTAGGTATAGAAATTTTGATATTTTAACAAAAAATTTTTGTAATGGAAAAATATTTTGATAAAATATACGAATACTACTGGAATTTTAATAAAAATTTGTGGTACTCATAATCATAATGTAATTAATAAAATTATTCTAATGATAAACGAAATAATTAAAATGGTGTTTATTTATTTTGTTTAGGTATAATAGTAACTATAATATTTTATTTTTACTTTCAAAACAATTTCCAAAATTTTAACTTGAGATTAAAAAAGTTATTATCGTATTTACGTAATTTAATATGTACTTACACGACGAAATATCAACATATTTAATTGGTATTTAAAGCTTTACGAATTTATTATTTAGAGTATATTTTTCTTAACTTGACTTTTTAAAATATTTTAATGCAATCTTTTTCGCGTAATATTTTAAATATAATTGAAAAATAATAATATAATTTTTCAATTTAAATAGTAGCTTAAATACATAATACAAAATAACTATGAAACAAAAACTGATCTGTCTTGTAATTGAAAACGTAATTATAAAAATTCAGAATTATATGATTTTGAGTATATGAATACCTTCACTATGCTATCCATATGTAACATATAAATGTGTTATTAATTGATTAAAAAACGACAATGGTCGATAGTTATTCGTCGCTATCTTACATAATATGTAAATATTTAAATTTACATGTAACAAGGATTTATTTGAAATAACCTTGAATGAAGATTAAATAAAAATATTTTAGGATGGTAATTTTTAAAAAAATTTGTTAAGATGAGATTGGATCAACTAAGGCATATCAAAATACTCATATTAAATTGTCAATTGTCATTTTTTTATTCGGTCAAACTAACGAGAATTATTACAATAAAATATAAATTGTACAAGAAAATATCCAGAATGAACTAATATTCATGAATTGTATTTTAATTAACAATCAACGAAAGACATTCTGTGGACACGTCAATAATTCTAAATTTCCAACAGACTGTTTTTGTTATTAAAATTGAATTTTTTATCAATCGAAATATTTATTAAAATATTTGATTTGTTCTTAATTTGTTCGTTTGTTATAATATTGAATATACGTGATTTCTAATGAAAATCAATTATATCCATAATACAATATTTTTAGCACAACAAACGACGCTGAAAAGATATTTTCAGCTAGGAGTTAGGACAAAACTAAAATAATAATAATAATAATAATAATAATAGTAATAATAATACATATTTATTTTAGAATCAATACTCATTTGTCACTAACCACATAAACATTGTTGTCGATTTTCGATTGAATGTACAACAGTGTTCATAGATCATGACTATGTCTAACGTCGAGGCTGTATTAGCAATAGTTTTTATTTTTTCTTTCTAATCAGACCACTGAAAGTAGCGTGAACCGAGTTTATGAGTCTGTGCGCAACACATCCTTTGAAATATTAATCGTTTTCGAAACGACATACTCTCATCTTTAATGCACCGCAGATCCGTTGAAAGCCATCGTCGTCCGTTTTGAAATCGACATCATAGAACACAAAAAAAAAATCCGCCAACAAGCAAGCAAGTAAACAACGAGCTAGTGATGTAAAAGAAACGGTACACGATTAATTTATTTAAAAAAAAAAAAAAAACAACAATCAAATGATGAACGAATTAAAAACAATAGTAAACAAATAGTTTTATATCACAAATATATCGTACGCGTTATCTAGTGATTTTTTTTTTTTTTACGTGAACGGCAAGACGAAAAGAGTGAGAGGGTGTGTGTGAGAGAGAACGCCCGAGAGTGGGGTGAACGCGAACGATGCTTCGTCGGTGGGATATCGGAAGCGAGAGGGAAACACGTTAAAATGGTTGACAAAAACGGGGCGTACGGCTGTTGATCACTACAGATAAAAACATTACACGGAACTGTTTTCGGCGGAACGTCTACGCAATGCACGGCCGGTACACGCGAGGACCGTGTGCCAATTGGTCGACGGCGATCAAACGACTGTTCGTCGGTTGTCACTACGTCCCCATACGCGCAAACGTGATAATAGTAATAACATTGCGGACGTCGTGTGTACGTGCGACGGGAGCAGCCGCGTTACGAGTTATTATTTTTATGATTTTACCATGCGCTTTGGTTTCATTATTATTTCATCAACACACGCATAGACCTCTGCCACTGAGTTTTGAACGTTATATTTATCGACTAGGTAGAATGTTATAGATTGAACGATGACTATCACGAATGCTTCGTGTGGTCACGGATCGGTATAAATGAATGAATCGCATACTGGATCCATTGATTTAAGCGGCCCCTACACGATCATTAATACATCGTCGACGCGACGTACAGATAACGGATGAAAAATGAATAAAATATAACTATGCCATCTATTGAATGAATAATTTATAAAAGTAGGTCGATTAGGTGCTTATAAGCATTCGTGAAATACATTATCAAAATCGTATTTGATTAGATAAGTACGCTATTACTATATAGACTTGCCAATTATGTACTTATTCAGCGGTTCCCAACCCATGGGCCGCGAGCAGGTGGTACTGGGCCGTGAACCATATTATATTAACATTATTTACATATATTTTTAAATTATAAAATATCAGCAAGTGAAGAAGATTCGTTGATTGAATTTTCATGTGATCTGACTCTAAAATCGTTTTTTTATAACTACACCATTATTACCATTCTAGTTGAAATTTCGGCAAGACTTTTCAGCAATTTCTAAAATTTGACTTAGGAACTTAATGGGCTATATTTCGATAACTTGTGTGTCTGTGTGAACGAGATTTTTCTACTTTAATTTTTTTTAAACAATAAATGTAGGAATAAATTGTATTTTGAGTGATTTAAGGCTAAAACTTTTCATTTTTTAATCCACATATTGATTCTCTCATGGGGAAAAATCCGAAATTACATTAGATTGTTTAACTCTTGAATAATCAAGTTCTTTTTTTTTAATTAACAATTTTTTATAATAAATAAATTGTAATGACTGACATATGTGCACATTATATATATATATATATATATATATATATAATTACTGGTGGGCCTCAAAGATTTTATACGAAATTGGTGGTCCGCACTACTAAAAAGGTTAAGAACCACTGTACTAATAATAAAACTGAACACGTTATGTGTCATGTGTGTACGGAAAAAATATACATTTACTACAAAATTAGTCCTATTAATAAATAATAATAATCCAACCTCGCTTTGCGCAGCCATAAATTTTTGTTCGGTTTAACAGTACCCGTATAATGCACCCAACAATAGTACTATTATAATATTATGTTTCTAATTGCATTTCAGTGCAACTTATTTATAAATCTTATGTTATAACTTTCTCTACCAGAGTTCCTTACAATGGATCACGAACATGAATAAATCGAATTCAGTGTACACATTTTTATAGACAATGAGATCCCAAAAAGAGTCTCAATAACAATTTACAGTAATGTAGCTGAGACCCCAAATAGAGTTTCAAATTAGATTTTTAGTAGCTTGAAAAAAACCCATGGCAGTTAACCTGTTAAAAAAATAAAAATAAAATAACAATACATATATTGATATAATTATATGTGCTAGTTATAATAAATACTTGTGTAGGTACCTACCCATCATTTATAATATATCCATTCAAATAGTACTTAAGTTCAACAAAATACTAATGATCTCTTTAATTTTCGCTGAAGCCTTTATAATATATTAATTTACCTACCTGTATTTATTTATTATTTATTTATCTACCTATGTACAAATAAAATGTGACTGTTGCATCCCAAAACCGCACACTTCTGATTTTTACCTGAAAATATGATAGGAAAAAACCGTACTTTTTTTGATTATAATAATTACTGTATTAATTGTTAAAATTATAAAAAACATACAGATTATATTTTTTCTAAATAAAGAACTAAAAAAATTAATACTATAATATTATTGCTTGATACCGATTGCTAATATCCCGAGGCGCCAGGTTTTGAAAATGTCATGGAAGACTCACTATTTTATAATCAGTACGGTACAGTTTTACCTAAATCATACCTTATAGTTCCTACTTTTATTTTTCTTGAATCACTAAAATATAGTTCTTTATTGTTTTGTATGTTTTGAAATTATAACTTAAAACATTTTAACTGTATTTGCATCATGAAAAATCATAAGGCAGGAACTAAAAAATGACAATTTATTTTTAATAGTCATGTGTTTTGTACAAAAAATTGATTTTTCCACACTTTTTAAATGAATCGGTTAACAAAAATTTCCAAAGTTATAATATCATCACAGCGAACATGTACATTAGAAATATCAATCATGTTTGACTCATTGTAGACATAATGTATGACTTAATTCCAGTGCTCGACTTGGCAAAACTTAAGAAGGGGGACTCTATTTACTTTAAAAAAAAAGAACGTCTCTAAAACTGGCTGATCGTTATGATTATAGCGTAATTATAGTAGGGGGGACGCTAAACTTTCTGAAAATTAGTTGGGGTACTCCGTCCCCTTGCGTCCCTCCTCAAGTCAAGCACCGCTTAATTCTGCCAAGGACAGAAAAAGATCTTTCAGATGTACAAGATAACACTGGTATACTAACTATACATTATATATAATATTTTGTTTGACTCCAGTAACATTTGACGAAGTGCATCATTGTTTTTTCATTAGCTTCAAGACATCATCAACATTTTTAATTTGGACCTTCTTTGATTTTGCTTCATCTAAAAACATATCCCTGTGTAATTACAATTTATACTATTTATACTTACTTATACTGTTAACAAAAATATTCTTTTTTATAAATAAAAGTACCATCTTCCAAGTACTCGTCTCAATAGTTGCATAAAAATTCAATATTTCTTTTACGTATTATAATAATAATTTTTTCTTCTTTGAACATGTAAGTAAATTATTCATTTTGAATGGTAAAAATATCACAATTAGAAACAAAATGTAGTGCTTCATTCAAATTTTTCGGAAAATTTGGAAAAAGTTTTCGGCGTTCGCGGTACATTGATTTCCTTATTGAACTCACGTCTTTCTGACATATAATTTTTTTATAGATGACATTTCTTTACGTATTATTTTTCATGGTCTCTCATGGACATCATCACACGCTTTACGTTTATATTCATTCCGTATTTTTTGAATTAGTATTTTTAACATTTCCAATTGTTCGTGTACATGGGTATTTTAAATCTTGAGAATTATCTTAATTGCACCACATGTACACAACTTTTCATGTGTCACCGCTAAACTGCGTTTTCACTTTTATGTAATCTAAACTTTCTGTACCCACTTAAAATCGTCAATTATTAAACATTTACCCCACTTATTGCTATCAATAACATTAAAATTCATTTTAAATAGCGTAAAAATGTACAAAAATTAAATATGAAATTATTATGTATAATTATATATAAGAAATAAACGCGCATACTCGAATCATTTTATACGCGCACATATATATATGTGTTATATACTAACTAATCTGCAATCAATTCAATATAAAATCCAATATCAATAATATGTATTTCCTATAATAAATATTGAATATATATATATATATATATATGTATATATCTGTATTCATTATTTAATGACTACAGATTATAACACGGTTGATAACGAAAAATGTGAAAATATATTTATAGAAAAATAATGTGCGGAGATACCTTATAACTAGGGCTCGGGACTTCTAGGAACTTGCATGTTTTTAAATAATTATCAAAAACATAGCTAAGTAATATATAAATTTGTTTCATAGCAATACAAGTTTATATTTAAAATTTATAGTTGCATGTTTTGCATATTTGACCATTTTTCATTTATAAGTGCATATTTGACCATTTTTCATTTTATAAATGTATATTTGACAATTATTCATATGAAAGAGTAAGTTTTTAAATTTTATAAAAAAAAATTATGATTTATTTCTTCATATATCACGTGACTTGGAACTCAAAGTGTCTTATTGGTGCACTAACTGAATGCATTAAAATAATTAAAACTACAAAAACGTATACATTCTACAAAAATTGAAGAATCTGCACAAGCTAAGGCTAACTACAAAAAATATCGAACATTTTAAATGGAAAAATTAATCTATGGATAGATTGCCTGCAGATATTAGTTATAGTGACCTACGATTTTTTAAGTTTGCACCAATAAGTTCCGTAGACGTGTAACGTTCCTTTTCTAAATATAAAATTATTTTGGCTGATAACAGGCAGTCATTTAAATTTTCCAACTTAAGAAATTATCTTATAGTTCAATGTAATGCTCAAGGTTAGAAGAATTATAACTATATTAAAAATAAAAAAAATATTTTCAAATTAATTTATTTTTAAAACCATTTAAATATTTTGTTTTAGATAAAAACTCAATATAAGATGAAAAAAAATTTGAAAAAAAAAAAAATTATCTCAGATCATCATATCTATCATATATAAAAATATTATTATAATTTATTACTAGTTAAATTTTTTTAATTATTACAAATATAATTTTTTTAAATACATATTTTAATAGCATATTTATTGATTCTTTAGGGCATAAATGCATACATATTTTAAGGTTTTTAAGGGCATGAAGTCCCTAGCCTTACTTAAAACATATAACAAGTTTATCTCAAACTGTTCCGACACCAAATACGATACGATCCGAAACAATACACACAAATTAAATCTTTCAGTAAAAGATTATCAAATATTACTAATTAAAAAAAAATATGTGCTGTTTTTTCTATCATATTTTCAGGTCAAAATCAAAAGTGTGCGGTTTTTGGATTCAACGAATGTGACCATTATGTCTAATATATAAGGGGTAGCCAACAGGTCGATCGCGACTTCCTATCGCATTTTCTTGAAGTTTTTTCAGAAAACAAATAAAATATTTGATTTTTTTTTTTGTAAATATGTGAATCTTTGTATATTTCACCAATATAAAATTTAGATATAGAAAAATAAAATAAATCACT